GTGCAATTGTTCTGCACCAAAATCCTGTTTTCTAAAAGGGTTAACCTAAATATACCTTTAATGGGCAAAACAGCAGCATGTATATGAAATGAAGTGGGAAGATGTAAGCAGTGAGAGGGAAAATACTTGAGGGCAGGGGAGTTACTCTATTAAAACAGCAGATATGCCTAAGAAACCATTTCCGGTTTGCTCCATTTACTTCCTTTACTTTGGAAACCAGATTGATTTACACTGTGTTAGGTTTTCCCTCTCTCCAAAGACCACCGCAGTGAGGATTCCAAATAAGGGGAAGGCATCACAGGGGCAGCATGGCCATTACTTGGCATGACTAAGCTATTTATTTCTAAGTGGACTGTTCCCTGTACTACAGTATTCATGTAACAAAATTTATTAACAGTGAAGCGAAGTCAATATAGATGACCAGGGATCCAGTAAAGGTCACCTGATTTTAAACTGAACCTTCAATATAGCATTGTACAGGATTTTCCCTTTGCCCAATAAAGTGCCTGCTATTTCATGCCTGCTTTATACAAATATCTTCAAGTCCAGCATTAAAAGCATACATACACAATTCTTTTAAATTTTTATTTATTTATTTTAGAGGGGAAGGAAGAGATGGAAAGAAACATCAGTGTGTGGTTGCCTCTCATGCACCCCCTACTGGGGACCTGGCCTGCAACCCAGGCATGTGCCCTGAATGGGGAACTGGTGACCCTTTGGTTCACAGGCGGGTGCTCAATCCACTGAGCCACACCAGCCAGGGCACATACATACACAATTCTTGATCTCTAGCAGCAGTTCTCAACTCGGTTGTATCAGATCACAGCCTGTTACAAATATGTATTCCTGGTCCCTGCCTCCAGAGGTTATGACTCAGTAGGTCTGGGCAGTAAATCCTGTTGATTCTAAATTTCTGCAATATAATTACCTGTATTAAGTTCATGGACATTTTATAACCTACATTTAATATAAATGCAATTGTATATAATCTGTATATTTTGATACTGATATCTAAAAAATTCTTTAGAGTGTATAGTTTTTATCAATAAGAACTAGCTGGATCCCTCAGAAGTGCAGAAAGGAGCTGGAATGAGTACAATCAACAGATGGCTAGAAGACAGAGGACAAGAGCACTGGCATGAGAGGTGGTAGCATGCTGGATTATCACCAGGAACTGACTAGTATTTGAAGCCCATTCACTCCTAAATGAATTTTCTTAAAATGCCACAGGACAAGGAGCTTCTTTCTTTCCCCCACTGCCATAGAAATTCTGATGGGCCCACTGCAGATGGAGCCTCAGCAGCCCTTCCTAAGTACCCTTCACATAGCCCCTCACCAGTTTGAGCATCTCTGGTCTACATTTACTGCATAAAAGCTTACCCTTTACAGTTCTGTACATATTATATACAGCATAAACAGAGGCAAACAAATGTTAAAAAAAAAGTTTATTTCATAATTATTAATTGAATCAGGACACATCAAAGTGGCATTACAGATACCCTTTTAATGACAATAGATGGTAAATGTATACAAATTACAGGCTAGAACATAATGAACATAAAATTCACTCAGATAATAGTTAAAAAGCATCACTTAACAAAAGAAAATCTGATTCAAGTGGCTAAAGAATTCAAGCCCCCCATTTCGATAATTACACAGTTTTCATCTTAGCACATCTAAAGCCTTCACCTAGTCAGGGTACTATTCAAGACTACAGCATATTCAATGACTCCAGTGATTTAAAGATTCACACTTTTAATTTTAAGCACTGATGTCAAGAGACATCTGGTAAAAGGTTCACTAAGCAAAACTCAAATGAGAATATGTGAATGTTCTTTGCAAACTGTAAGGTGCTGTGCAGATGTTGTTAGCTATTGCTATTATTACTGTTCAGTGACATTTCACTGAACCTGAGAAAAAGGAAGACTAGTCTGTGTAACTGATAGATATGACTTATAGAACATCTTAAAAGAAATGCAGATATTACTTTCAAGTACACGTAACAAGAAAAACAGGCAAGGAAAGCATGAGCAGGAGTGATGGTAAATTGAAGAATTCTAGACTATTTTAATACATGTATAAGGGATTACACTATTCATAGATTACATGTAATACGTATCCATTAAGTTCCCAAAGTCCCTGAAAATAATTTATTTTCTCAGGTGACCCTTTCCTCCTGCAAAAATTAAAAACTTGTGAAGTTATTAATATGCTGCTTCAGTTCAGCTCTTGCAAAATGAGTCTTCTGAATTAATAAAACTGTACTACTCTGGTAGAAAACGCAGTGACTGACAGCAAAGAAATCTGTTGCTGACCTAAGACAAGTGACAAAGTTGGTACCATAGCCAAACTATTTATGAAAGGGGCCGAAGAGCAGTCTACAACTTCACTTGAGCATGAAACAATAAACTTGTCTGGAGACAAGAAATACACACTACATACAGTTAAAACAGGATTTCAATCTTATGTTCATGTACCCTCAGCTTTCATCTTTCCTTGGACACACCTTGTTTTTACTGGTCTCCTTGGGTACTCAACATGTATACATAAAATTTATGTGAAAATAGAAAATGAATACCAAAAAGTCAATCAGTTAGGCGCCTCTTCTGGCAAAGCTGATGAGAATTTTATGATAAAAATAGTCTAATTATTACAATGCATTTCAGTCAGATTCCCAGGAAACACAGGTTGTGGTTTTTTTTTTTTTTAAATTAAAGGTTTAAATTTCTTCAGTAACAAATCAAAACTGAATTTGGCTGCTACCATGTAAAATGGTATCCACTTGAAGAATTGATGACATCAGATGCATTCTACAGCAGACTTTTCAGTTTTCAGCACAATGAGGAAGATTATATTCTGTGGGGGGTAAACTGGGAGGTAAGGTGAGGAAGGTAATATGTTACAGTGAATGGGGTTAAATCAGTAGTTTGTGCTGACATTTTAAGTTACACTTCCTAATTGAGGTTATTCTTACAATTAGTTTTCAAACAACAGTGAACATATTCCTACCTTAAAACATGTATAAGGGCTCAATCGTAGCTTTTCTTTCTATACATCCTGAAGTATGTACATCGTGCAAGAGAAAACCAATTAAAAATAAATCTGTATGTCAAATACCATGTTATTTCAATAGCAGCAAACTAACGAGTTTACAGTTGAAACCCCAGGAAAAAATGAACTGGTTTGAAAACAAATCTATATTGTAATAATCCTAAACATCAACCCTACCATCTCATTCTGAATTTGAAACACTTGGTACTTTTTCCAAGAGGAAATTACAACTGCTTTTGCATGAATCCCGGGTTTAAATACTTGCAGAAAAATATTCTTCTTATCTACTTAGCAAATGTTGGAAATCAAACAAATAATCCAACACTGGACATGAATATTTTACAAGAAGCATAACATTGCAAAAATATAAGAAAAACCTTGGCATTATAGAAAAAGAAATTAGGCAGACAACAATTCTAAGGACAACAGGCATCTAAAGAGGAGACCGTCTAGAAATCTACCACACGGTATCCCAAATTTAATAATTTCATTAAATTTGTACAATTTTATACTAAAACTGTAGTCTTTTTTTAAGAAAACACTTTACATTTAGAATAACTGCTTAAAGACATTTTACTTGAGACAACATTTAACTAAATAAGAATCTAATCCATCCAATTGCACAACATTAAAAATAGGAATGAACAAATCGGTAATGGCAAACAGAAATTACCAATAACAGGAAACTTGAAAAATAAGATACCTCCTTAAAAGAATAAAGAATGTGTGAATGTGTGTGTGTGTGTGTGTGTGTGTGTATTTAAGAAAATGGCCACTGATCACTCCTGTGGAAAAAAATGCCAATAGTTGTTGGGAAAAGTTGGCAGGATTTAAACTTAATCCAAACGTTTAGTGAATATTGGATTACCATTAAAAAATGCACATAGGCTGTAAACCAAAATACTGGTTATCTCCAGGTGGCAAAATTACAGGGGATTTAAATTTTCTTCCTGTTTAAATATGCATTTTTCTGGGTGTGTTTTTAGACTGTATACAAATAGTACCAAGTGGCTAGAAAGAACAGACTAAAGATACTAAAATAAAAACACAAGGTCTTTTTCTATCATAAAAGGCCTTAAGAATTATCTAATTATACATACCTGGGGAATAACAGGTCTGATTAAAAGGACTACCCTAGAAATACTAATACTTCCTGGATGATAAAAACAATCTATTTTCAAGATTATTGACACTACCTAAGTATGCAAAAATAAACATTCAAAATGTAAATCCCTATCATATACATTATAAAAACAGTAAGAAGAACAAATTTAAAGCAAATTTACATAAACCTGGTAATTAAAGCATAATTTTATTATTGGACAAGAGCAAAGCAGATTATTAAAGAATTGGTCTGAAAGCACAAGCTGGCTTTCAAGGGGCCTTTAGGAAGCAGGCCAGGGTCTAGGAAGCTAGCTCTGCTCTGCTATTAAGATCCTTCAATTAAGCAATTTGTGTAAAACAGGTGGGTGGAATTCAACCTAGTTTCCCCATGAAATAATGTAATGAAAGATTCCTTCTGACTAGGGATTACATTTTATTTGAAACTTCTGAGTGACATTGAGAATAATTCTAGCATCCATAATTTAAGCAATTTTCCATAGGAATTTACAACCCAAAATCCAATGACCTGGTACTTTCATAATAGTTAGGGAAAGTATTTTAGCAAAAAAATAAAGTTTAGATCTGTTTCACTGTGTACCTAGTAATAGAGCCAGAAAAGTAAAACTCAAAACCAACTAAATGACAAAATGCAACAGAATATTTTGGTTGTAAAATAATCAAATTATTTACAGAATAATGTGTAATTAAACATACTTATTTGTAACAAATTTAATTTTTCCAAATTCTCATTTGCAAATGAGAGGCTCATACAGTTAAAATCGAGGATACAAACCATTGTATTAGAAGGATCAAAATTTACACTAGTCAAATGTGACTCCTTAAGATAGATTTTAACATGTTCTTTCAACTTTATTGAAATCATCGGTATCCAGGACACATTTGCCATTTAAAAAAATCAATGTAATGCTATGAAAAGGTGATGTTCACTTTAATCCTGTTTGCCTTCACGCCACTGCCGTGAACCTTCATTCCAGGCCACATAGACAAAGAGAGCCAGCACCACATGGACAGCAACCACTGCAACAATAGCAGCATAAAAATAGCTGTCCCTATTGGACATCCCAAAGGCACCTATCAAGAGAAAAATGTTTTCATTTTATTACAAAGTATATCAAAATACAAAAAACAAAGCATACTAATTTTATTAGCATACTAATTTATTCAATTAGCCAAGGAATTAAAAAGTAACACTTTGGGTGATGATAAAGCAAGTATTTATTTAAAGATTTGAATATTCTGTCTATGCATGAAAACACTTGATTTTGAATGTGAGCTGTTAAGTATCACTTCATCTAAGAACTGTGCCACAAAAAAAGGGGACTTTATTTCCTCTTCCTTCCAATGTCTGCCAACAAATGCACACTCCCCAAAATCCCCCCTCCCATGTCAATTAACTCTTGCTCTCAAAGGGATATTAAAAGGACCCACAAACTATTTCATAGAAAACTATGATGTCAAACAAATATGATGTCAAGCTGAGGTGACTACAAGTGATAAAAACGTTCATTTCATGAAGTAAAACCCATTGTGAGCAACATTGTATTTGAAAAGCAGAACAGACGAAAGAAGCAAACTTAAGAATATCCAGTTTACATCTATAAAGACATCATAAAAGCACAGTACATGAAATATAGTAATATGTCTATAAAAATAGGGTTACCTTCAAATACATAAGATTTAGTGGTGAAATATAACCCAATAGGTACAGTGATCATTAAAGCTGTGAAGAACAGCAGAGTCTTCAGGGTAGATGCTAATGAACTTTCATTTCTGGAATAAAGTAAACAAAGAGAAAATCAGAACCTGCACAACACTTCCAATGCTTCTTGTGTCTATAAACACTTTATATAACCACAGAGAAGATTCTGAAAACCTTATTCCTGCCTTGGAAAGCAGTGGCCAGAGGAAGAAGAACAGTCAGGGACTCAAAATTGAAAGATCTTGGAGACCCAGCTGCAGGCTCACCTCCAAGAGACCATCATTCATACCCAGTGTGAGAAAAAGTGTCAAAGTGTGAAAGTAGTTGGTAATCTCCAAAGTGCTATGCAAATGTACATTGTAATAACAGAATTTACAATGGGGGTAGCAAGAGAGAAGATACACAGAAGACAACTGATGGCTAGCTGAATACAGCACAAACAAGATAAGAGAATCTCCAAAGAAAAAGCAGTATAGAACAATCTGGATGCAGCTGAAGGAAATTTACTCAATTTCTTTTTAATTAAATAGCTACAGTACAATTTAGATGTCCTTTGAGTAACATGGGTGCATAAAAAGTTTGATATCAAAACACTTTCTCTTCACTGAATTCTATTTGTCCACAAGCTACTTTCAAACCAAGGAAATATTCCGATGGAAAAACTTTTGTTTCAGAATACAATAAAACTAGTCTGAAGAAAGTAACCAAGCTTTGAAAATTTTATACATAAAGAAAAATAAGTCCAATAAACTTCTACTTAAAATATTAACAATATAAAGATTAATATAATAGCACAAACAAGACTGGGTAACATAGCCCTGGCTGGTGTATCTCAGTGGATTGAGCGCAGGCCTGTGAACCAAAGGATTGAGGTTCGATTCCCAGTCAGGGCACATGCCTGGGTTGCAAGCCAGTTCCCAGCAGGGGATGTACGAAAGGCAAACGTACGTTTGATATTTCTCGCCCTCTCTCTTGCCCTTCCCCCTAAAGATAAATAAATAAAAATCTGAAAAATAAAAAGGACCATTAAAAAAAAAAGACTGGGTAACATTAAAATGTCCACTAACAGAAAAATGATTTTGCAAATGATGTACATCAATATATGGAGATACTAAAAAGAATTATGACAATTATTCAGAAAGTATTTATGTGACAAACAGCGCAAATTACAATGCATTGTGCATTTCAGGGGTCTGTAAGATAAGGCCTGAGGGCCCACCACCTATTTCTGTAAATAAAGTTGAATTGAGACACAGCTACACCCATTTGTTTATGTATCATCTAAGACCACTTTGAAACTACAAAGGCACAGCTGAGTAGTAAATCATATGGCCCTCAAAACATAGAAGATTTACTATCTTGCCCTTCAGAGAAAAACTTTACCAAGCCTTGATGCTTTTACCAATTTATTCATTCATTCTTTCTTTTCTTCCTTTCTCTCTTTCTCTCTCTCTCTTTAATTGATTCGAGAGAGAGGGAGAGAGAGGGAAAGGGAGGGAGAAAGAGAGGGAGAGAAACATCAATTGTTTCCCTCCTGCACACGGGACAGGGACTGAGCTTACAACCCAGGTATGTGCCTTGAAAAGGAACCAAACTGGCAACCTTTCAGTCTGTAGGCCAGGCAACACCCAACCAATTGAGCCACACTGGCCAGGGCTCTTTTACTGACTTCTTTAATGTCAGTATTTGTCATATGCATTGTTACTAATGAACAACACTACTGAAAGTGAAGCTGTAGTAAGCTTCCAGCAACCGTGAGTACACACACACTTCATACATACTACCTAATACATTATAAAAAATGAATCCTATAGCCTTTAATCATTAGTTTAAGGTCCTTTTCCTCCCTTAAATCTAACCATTCTCAGACAGTTTAACTTCTCACTTTGTGCTTATAGTCAATACTTGAATTTAATTCTCTTTCTGGCAATCCTCAGCTAGAGGCTCCAGTTTTTATCTGTTTCCTTAAGAAAGAGACACCCTAGCTTTCAAAGCCCCACCAAAATAGCCCTCTTTTCCAGGCACCTTTCCTGATTACATCCTGGAAAGTATCATTCCATATACAATTAGCACGGAGATTTCTGTCAGCCCCAAAAGGAAGAAAACATCTCACAAATTTTTTCAATTGTCTACAAACTTTTTTAACTGTGCAATTCATCCATAAATAAAATTCTGAGGACATATCCCACTTAGGCATTTTAATATTTCCTTAGAGATTCTATTTATTTATTTTAAACAGAGGGGAAGGGAGAGAGAAAGAGAGTGAAATATCAGTGTGTTTGCCTCTCATGCGCCCTCCTACTGGGGACATGGCCTGCAACCCCGGCGGGTGCCCTGACTGAGAATCAAACTGGTGACCCTTTGGTTTGCAGGCCAGCACTCAACCCACTGAACCAAACCAGCCAGGGCTGATATTTTAAATAAATTATTTATACACATATTACCACATCTTTAAAATACAAAACATATGCAAAATAGATACTAAAAAGGTTGTGTGTCTGATTGGGTGTTACTGAGACTTGTTAGAAAAGAACAAAGTGGAAGTCCAGAATTAAACTTCGTCTCACACAAAAGAAATAATTCAGCCCTGGCTGGTGTGGCTCAGTGGACTGCGTGCTGGCTTGCGAACCACAGGGTCTCTGGTTAGATTCCCAGTTCCAGCACATGCCTGGGTTGCAGCCAGGCCCCCAGTAGGGGGTGCATGAGAGGCAACCACACATTGATGTATCCCTCCGTCTCTTTCTCTGTCTCTTCCCCTCCCTCTAAAAATAAATAAATAAAATCTTTAAAGAAAAAGAATTCAGGATGAACCTTACTGTGTCCCACTCTTAAAACCACTTAGAGTTTACCCCCTTCATATAAACTTCTGCAGCAAACACTAAGCAGATAACAGAGCTTACCACATCCCCTTTTGTGATAATCAAGACTTCTATTCCAAGTAGATTTCACTGCAGATTCCATTAGGAAACATGAAAATCAGTCTAGGAGAGCTAGACTTTATTTTAAGTGTACTTAATGAAAATACCTGTTGGTATACTTAATACTAAATAGTAACTTAAAAAAACACCTACACTGACCATTTTGAGAGGGGAAAACGAGCACAAGCTCCAAAGATCAGGAGATTTGCAGTGAGTGGGCTTGGTCAAATGCCAGCTTCAACACTTACTGTGTGGCCTGTGACATTGGTCAAGTCACTTAACCTGAGTCAACTTCATCTTAAAATCAGGAAACTAAGCCTTTCGTAATTCTGACGTCTGTAATTAAGTGCCTACATTGAGTTGGGCACACAGTAGGTCATCACTGAATGGTAGCTAAATCCCTTCTCAACTCCTTGCCTACAGAGGTTGGCTGAACTAGTCGGGCAGAACCATCTGTTCTCTCAGATTCCTTCCGCTCAGACACCAGCCAGCCCCTATACTATTGACTCACCCAGGGAAGCAGTCTCACAACAGAGACAGCACCTACTCCCTTCCATTCATTCATTCATCTAGCAGTTATTAAGCCTAGATGGTGCAGGCCCAGTATCGGACACGGAGATGGAGAAGGCCGTGCTCCTGTCCTCAAGGAGCTGACCCTGCGGTGGGGAAAGATCGCAATGTAGACGACAACGAGAGAAAAGTACTAGGAAAGAAGCATGAACTATGTAGGCCGGCCGGCCTAACCTTCCCTGACCCCGGATCCATTATTCCGGAGTGAAGGGCCGCGGCCGGGCAAGCAGACGCTGCAGGCCCAGACCTGCTCCCTGCTCTCCCACCCTGCAGCCAGGCCTCACACCCACGGCCGGTCTGCACTTTCGACTTGCCCAGCTCCAGGCCCGGGCGGGCCCGCCACTTGGTCGGGGGCTCAGCCGGCCCGTGCCGGCTCTGGACTACCTGACGTCAGGTGGCTGCAACGCGTTCAGCGCCGCTTTATCAAGACGCTCCATGGCGTGGCCACCTGCAGCAGTTTCTCGCGGGTGGACTGCGCTCCACGGCCACTCTCAATCGGTTTCGGCGGCCGACTGGTTCAGGAAGGCCCCGCCGGAAGTGCCGGCGAGTGCCGGGTGGCGGAGCCCTGCGCGCAGGCGCGGCGCATTGTAGTGACGCTAGCTATGGCGGGCGCGGGCACTCACGTGGCTTACCGGCCAGGGCTCCGCAGCGTGCGCCCCGCTGGGGGCGGCCTGTAGTCGAGGAGCAACCCAGGCGAGTAGCCTAGCCACTCCACGTTGAGCCGGGACTTGCCTCGTAGCATGGTTCTTCCGGACAGGCTGACCTGTTGCTGTCGACCCCTGTGTGAGCGAGCGAACACCTCGTCCGTGGTCCCAGCCTCTGTCGCAAAGCTGCGGTTGCCAGGAGACAGGAGCAACAGAACCCGGAGAAAGGACGACCAGGCAGACCACTGTGGTGCTAGGCAACGGAGCAGTCACAGACGGCAACAACAGAGAAAAAGCAGTGCACATTATTCCCCAGCCCTTGAGCAAATGCCTCATTAATTATTACCCACAGTGAAAGTCCAGCGGTGGGAAGCTGGAAAGAGTTAGTTTAACACTGACCAGAGCCCGTATAGGTAGAGAATGTTAGGGCTGAAAGACCCCATGCTGAAAGTAACTGTTCCAGGCTGCAACCAGTGGCCCCAAATTCCACGTAAAAACATTTTGCAGCTGCTCCAAAAGCCGACAGTGATGCAACAGGGACTCAAATAGTAAGGGACAGATAGTCCTCCCGGGCCTGAGCAACCCGAGAGAGATATAAAACGGTGCATAAGCCTAGGGTCAGGCTCAACAAAATTAGGTTGTCACTGGCAGCTGATAAGAGGACAGCCCTGACATGGTCAACTCCTGGAAAGAACAACTGGCCACACATCTGTTTTTTGCACCGCATGGACACAAACACCACATTTGAAACCGTGACTAAACCAGCAGGGTAAGAGTCTTCTTAAGGACCAGGGACTGGGCAGCAGGAAGCACGATTTCGAGTACAAGCTCTTTGGGCCCCATCTAGAACCACCTAAGGCCACAACTAGGGAGGAATTAGACTTTAGCTCTGGAGTTGGCAAATTGTATCCACTTGCCAAATACATAGAGCCAGCCTGCCTACCACCTGTTTTTCTATAGCCCATGAGTTAAGAATGTTTTTTCTATTTTAAATGTTTTTAATTGAAAGAAAAATAATATATTGTCACATGTCAAAATTATATGAAATTCAAATTTCACTGCCCACAAATAAAATTTTATTGGAACTCAGCCATGCTTATTCATTTGTACCTACAGCTGCCTTTCCACCACAGCAGCGACAGCGTTGAGTAGTTCTAACAGAGACTCTATGGTCCACAACGCCTAAAATATTCACTATCTGGCCTTGGTCAACAAAAGTTTGCTGACCCCTGCTCTAGCTAATCACTCTGTAATGAGCCTTTAGGGATCCATAGATGTAGTAATGGAGGTTCTGAGAACAATTTTCAATATTTAAAAAAACCCTAATAAATGTATTTAATGGATATATTGTATGTTACTTACCATTAGAAATCAACAGCTACTTAAGACATTACCTTTCTTTGGTTTTTGGCACTAATTATATCACATTAATGAGGTAATCTGGGTTATTGCATGACAAAATACACATATTACTACTAAACCATTGTATACTTGGCTGACTAAATATATTAAAACATAGAATAAACACACAAGAGGCATGATCTTTGCTTTATGACTTCATATATCTCTCATGCCTAGAATAAGGGCCTGATGTACAGTAAGCACTCAGTAAATATTTGTTAGATAAATGAATTGGGTCCACAAGGAGACAAACAGCAAAAGAGTTATTGGTAAAAATTAGGAACCACTGATGCAGTTCTATTAGATTTCTAGGGCTACTTTAACAAACTACTATAAATAGAGTGGCTTAAATGACAGACATATATTGTCACATAATTTGGGAGGCTAGAAGTCTGAGATCAAGGCATTGGCAGAGTTGGTTCCTTCTGAGGATGGTGAGGAAGAATCTCTTTAGTGCCTTCCACCTAGCTTCTGCTGGTTTGCTGACATTCTTTGGTGAACCTTGATTAGTAGAAGCATCTCTCTGATCTCTGCATTTCTTGTCCAATGGCTTTCTCCCCATGTCTGTATCTGTGTCCAAATTTCTCTGTTTTTTAAGACCTCAGTCATATTGGATTAGGGGACTAACTTATTCAAACATGCCCTCATCTTATCTAACTACATCTACAACAACCTTCTTTTTTTTTCTTCTTTTTAAAAAAATTGTTCAAGTACAATTGTCTCCATTTACCCCCTGCACTCCTGCCCCACCCATCCCTGCCTCCCATACTCAATCCTACCCACTTTGGCTTTGTACATGTGTCCTTTATTCATGTTACTTGATGTCCCTTCCCCTATCCCCCCCCCATTATCCCTCTCCCCCCTCCCCTCTGTTCACTGTCAGTTTGGTCTTTATTTCAATGTCTCTGGACTGGAAGGTTTCACAGAAGAATTTAACAAAACATGTAAGGAAGAGCTAAACCCTATGTTTCTCAGCCTACTCCAAAAAATCCAAGAAAAAAGAAGACTACCAAACTCTTTAAATGAAGACAACATCACTCTAATTTCAAAAAAGATAAAGACACAACAAAGAAGGAAAACTACAGGCCAATGTTGCTGATGAACATAGACACTAAAATCCTCAACAAAATGTTGGCAAACAGCATCCAGCAATACATTAAAAAGATCATATACCGTGATCAAGTTGGATTCATCTCAGGGATGCAAAGATGGTGTAATATTCACAAATTAATAAATGTAATGTATCACATAAACAAAAGGAAAGACAAAAATCATGTGATCATATCAATAGATTCAGAAAAAGCATTTGATAAGGTACAGCACCCATTTATGATAAAAATACTCAGCAAAGTGGGAGTAGAGGAAGCATTCCTCAGCATAATAAAGGTCATATATAAGAGACCCACAGCCAACATCATGCTCCATGAGCGAAATCTAAAAACTTTCCAATTAAGATCAGGAACAAGACAAGGATATCCACTTTCACCACTTCTATTCAACATAGTACAAGAAGTTCTAGTCAGAGCAGACAAAAGAGAGGAATAAAACATCCAAATTGCAAAGGAGGAAGTAAAACTGTCATTGTTTGCAGATGGCATAATAGTGTATATACAAAATCCTATAGACTCCACCAAAAAACTGTTTGACCTAATCAATGAATTTGGCAAAACAGTGGGATACAAAGTCAACATTCAGAAATCAAAGGCATTTTTGTATACCAACAATTAAACATCAGAAAGAGAAATCAGGAAAAAATCTCATTTGATAAAGCAACAATAAAAATAAAATACCAAGGAATAAATCTAACCAAGGAGGTACAAGACCTATACTCAGAAAACTACACAACACTGAAGAAAGAAATTAAGGAAGACACAAACAAATGGAAACATATACTGTGTTCATGGATCAGAAAAATTAACATCATGAAAATGTCCATAGTACCCAAAACAATTTATATATCCAATACCTATTAAAGTACCAGAGATATATTTCACAGATATAGGATAAACACTTAAAAAATTTATATGGAACCATAAATGACCCTGAATGACTGCAGCAATTTTGATAAAGAAGAGCAAAGTAGGAGGGATCACAATACCTGATACCAAACTGTATTACAAGGCCACTGTAATTAAAACAGCTTGGTACTGTCATAAAAACAGACACATAGACCAATGGAACACAATAGAGAGCCCAGAAATAAACCCAAGTCTCTATGGTCAATTAATATTTGACAAAGGGGTCAAAAGCATAAAATGGAGTAAAAATAGCCTCTTCAACGAATGCTTTCTGGGAGAGCTGGAGAGCTACAGGCAAAAAAACCCCCTGAAACTTGAGCACCAGCTTACACCATAAACAAAAATAAATTGAAGGTGGATAAGAGATTTATTTATTTTTAAATATATTTATTGATTATGCTATTACATTTGTCCCATTTTCCCCCTTTCACTCCCCTCGACCCTGCATACCCTCTCCCACCCACATTTCCCCTCTTTAGTTCATGTCCATATCTCATACTTATAAGTTCTTTGGCTTCTACATTTCGCATACTGTATTTACACTCCCCCTATTTTCTACCTACCATCTATGCTACTTATTCTCTGTACCTTTTCCTCCCTCTGTCCTCCTCCCACTCCCCTGTTGATAACCCTCCATGTGATCTTCATTTCTGTGGTTATGTTCCTGTTCTAGTTGTTTGCTTTGTTTTTGTTTTAGTATGGTTGTTAATAATTGTGAGTGTGCTGTCATTTTACTGTACATGTTTTTTTATCTTCTTTTTCTTAGATAAGTCCCTTTAACATTTCATATAATAAGGGATTGGTGATGATGAACTCCTTGAACTTGACCTTATCTGAGAAGCACTTTATCTGTCCTTCCATTCTAAATGAAAGCTTTGATGGATAGAGTCATCTTGGATGTAGATCCTTGCCTTTCATGACCTGGAATAATTCTTTCTAGCCTCTTCTTGCCTGGAAGGTTTCTTTTAAGAAATCCACTGACAGTCTGATGGGAACTGCTTTGTAGGTAACTGGCTCCTTTCCTCTGGCTCCTTATGATTCCTTATCTTCAATCTTGGCTAATGCAATAATGATGTGCCTTGGTTTGTTCCTTCTTAAATCCAAATTCTTTGGGACTCTCTGAGCTTCCTGGACTTTCTGGAAGTCTATTTCCTTTGCCAGATTGGAGAAATTCTCCTCTATTATTTGTTCAAATAACTTTTCTTCTTGTTTCTCTTCCTCTTCTCCTTCTGGCACTCCTATAATTTGGATGTTGGAACGTTTAAAGATGTCCTGGAGGTTCCTAAGCCTCTCCTCATTTTTTTTGAATTTTTGTTTCTTCATTCTTTTCTGATTGGATGTTTATTTCTTTTTTCTGGTCCACTCCATTGATTCAAGTCCCAGTTTCCTTCCCATCACTATTGGTTCCCTGTACATTTTCCTTTATTTCAATTAGCGTAGCCTTCATTGTTTCATCTAATTTGCAACCAAATTCAACCAATTCTATGAGCATCC